GTATTTTTAAAAATTTATTTTAAAAATAAAAGAAAAAACATATTAACAAACAGACATCAATTTAAAAAATAGCATAAGAACAATACAAATAACACAGAGTTACAGACAAAGTGGTAGGAAATTAACAATGGCTGTTGTATTACTGATATCTTCAAAGTGGTTTCTCATGAAAACAAATAGAGACATGCAAGATTGATCATATGATTAACTGGAGTTCTATATGCTTCACTTATCTGTATGTCTGATTCTTTTTCCATGCCTGGGAAATTTTCTGCTATTATTTCTGCAAATAGTCTTTTTATGTCATTTGTGTTGACACCTGCTGTTTCATTGATACCTATTAATCTGATATTATTTTTCCTTGCTTCATCTTGCAGTTGTTGAATTGTTATTTCCTGGTTCCTTATTGTTTTTAAGAGATCCCTCCTTTCATGTTCATTAGTGGCAATGATGTCTTTAAGGTCTGAAAGTCTATCTTTAGCTGCGTTCAGGCGGTTTTGCCAGCTTTCAATGGAATTTTTAATTCCTGGATATCTGTTTGAATCTGTTTCATACATTCTAGTTCTTTCCTATATGGTTCACTCAAGGTTTCCATGAGTTGTCTATGCTTTTCTATTTTCTTATCAATGTCATCTTTGGGTATGCTGAACACTTCTTTCATCATTGTTGTCATTTCTTTTTTTACCTGAGACATTATTTCTGATCAGATGTCTTCTATGGCCTGGAAGAGTTGTTTCTTTACTTCAATTGCTGTCATTTCAGAAATTTCAAGTGTATGACTTCCAGGCTCTTCTGTGTTGATGTCTCCTGGACTTGTTTTGGGTGGTGTGGAGGTCTGGGATTGCATTTTATTCCTTCATTTTGTCATTTTTGAAGATCCAGAGGTTCCCTGGAGTGCAGCCTCACTCTCCTGATTGTGTGTGAGTGGTAGGGAAATTGTCTGAAGATCTCAAGTGCTCAGTGCAGCTCCTATGCTGGTGAGTGGTGGTAAGGTGAGGTCCCAGATGCTCCCAAACTTTCTGGCATTCAGTTGGCTCCCAGGCTGGGCTTCCTGAAGATGTCCAGCGTTCAGCCCAGTCCCTGAAGACACACTGTGGGTGTGGTGAGTAGCCACCAAGGCCCCAGAGGTTGCCTGGGTTTCCACCTGCCTCACACACTGGTCAGGGAGGTACAGCGGTGACTCACTGGGCTTCCTGAAGATGTCTGGAGTTCAGCCCAGCCTCCACAGAAAACATCATCTTATACATGATAAATACAGTCAATTTTTCAACTAAAAAGAAATTAATTAAAAGTTATAATCCATGTTTGTTTGTTAATATGTTTTTGTTCTTTTATTTTTAAAATAAATTTAAAAAATAATAAAAAACTTTCTGTAGATAAAGGAACACTGAATTGACACAATGAAGGGCCACCATGTCCCCAGGAACAATTATTCAGAAGAGCCACATGAACAAGAAATTTAGAGGCCTCATTTAGATTCATATTTTACCATTAAAGATTTTCAGAAAGTGAACACTTTCCAAGACAGTAGGCACACTAACAGCTGGATATCCTTCTAAATAGTTTAATTTCAGAGTCTTAGGGTTTAGAACAACTTCTTTGGAATAGAAGACTACACTTGAATATTACAAATCATACACATTTTAGTGGTCTTAGTTTAATGGACTTTTTTGATGGTAGCTAATGGACTCAGCATCTAAACTCAACCCTTACATTTCAGATAACTTTATGTGGGTCATGAAGATTTATTATGAGGAACAGTTACTAGAGATTTGGATGGGGAATATATTGCTAGATATTTCTCATTTAAAGATCAAGTTCTGTTCCTGTATCTAGGTCGTTAAATGAACTGACAGCTAAATGAGGAATTATATACAGTGTATAGATTACAATATTCAAAACAAAGAAATGGTCAAAGAATACTCCAACTTGATGTCTTTGCTTTTATTTGCATAACTCTCACATGCAGTATTGCAATGTATAACAGAGCTACAGTACTGTGCTATACAGTACAATCAGCAAAAAACTATAATACTGTATGGATAAGGTCTACTGTAAAAAAAAGATCTTGAGGATCTGTAAACAAGATGTGTGGAACTGTTCACAAAACAAAGATGGGTCCTAAGTCCGTGTGGCAGGTGGTTAGTCTGAAGAGCATATCATGACAGTAAGTTGAAAAAGTCATTAAACAGGTATGTCATTCAACTGGGAGTACCTGTATCGGCATTGGTATGGAGCCACCTGTGAGCATCAGGTACACCCAAAGTATAAAGTGTGGAAGTATTTGACAAATATCATGGTATATGAGTGAGGAGGATCCTTCTATATCTCTTGGATTTAATTCACATAAAGAAGAATCATCTTGAGCATAGGAAGAGAACAAGTATTGCAAAAATAGTGACAATTATAGGCTATATTTTGTCTCAAACAAACCGGCATGATTTGTGATCCTCTTTAGGGTAGGACTTGACATTTTAGAAATTCCAGATCTTGCCACATTTGAATTTTCTTCCTCTTCTCACTCCATGAGATTCAAGGTCTTCCTGGGGTCTTCACTCCCATTCTCTGCTTAATACAATATTGGGGCACACAGAGGACTCCATAGAAGACATAGCATACAGTCACAACCAGGTGGGAACTCCTTCCAGAAACCGTAATCTGTATACCACCACCTCTGTGTACCCTAGAGCATGGTGGGATGTCCAGGGTACTTCTTAGCACACAGGTCTTGGCACCAGTTATTTTATAAGAGAACACAGCAACTTGTTCAGTAAAATTCATGGTCCATGGCACTTGATCCAATGAGAGGGACTAGGTGAATCTGGCGCCCATGGTGTGTCTACATGATAAGGAGCACTGGACTTAGATGTGGGGAGTCATTCTCTAAATGGGACCTGGCAGATACCTCTACTTTTCTCGGTGGTCTCCACCAGCAATGGTAGAGACATAGTCTAGAAAGATACTGGGTACATGAGGCTATCTGGGGAAACAACAAATTAGATGTCTTAGAGAATATACCCTTATTGTCCACCTATCTTCAGTGATGTCTATTGATGATTGATCATGATCTCTTTCTTAAGACATCTTTGTGCAAAGGTAGCCATTGAAACTTATGAGGTGGGTCAGACGCTCAGCGGAGAGATTTTTCTCTCTGCTGTCTCTTTCACTGAATGGTCCAGCACAAAGCACTGAGCTGGAGAATAGCATGGCACATTTTCCCATGGGCATGGCTTAAGTGTCTGAATTCTCTTCACATTTGGTGCCATGTCCCAGTTGGCCACTGCTGTGGTTTGGATGAGTGCCCCCCAGTATCTGTGTATTAAAGGTTTGGTCCCCCAAGATGGTACTATTGTAAACTTCTGTGGACTTTTAAGGGTGAGGGCTGGTGAGAGGTCCTTTAAGCCACAGGGGGAATCTGCTGAAGGGAATTGTGGGAAATAGCCTGTTCTCTTGTCTACTTTTGGGGTCATGATGTTATCGGTTGCTCTGACACCTGTGTCAGAGGCTCAAAACCAGTGTGCTTACTCATCTTGGACTTGAGCCGCTAAGCCAGTGATGGCCAACCTTTCAGAGCTTTCAGTGATACAGACAGCCCACTGAAGCACATGCGCCATAGGCTCATCATCACTGCTCTAAGCTATGAGTTAAATAATATTTTTTCTACTAAGTTAATTGCTTTAGTGCTATGGTTTAGATCTGAAATGTTCCCAAAGAGTGGATTCATCAACTAATGAGTTCAGTAGCTGAGTATGCTCTTAGGAGTAGGGCCCAAGAAGGGGGTCACTTGGGGCATGACCTAGAAGAGTGCATTCTTGTCCCCAGCTCCTCCTTTCTCTCTCTGCCTCTTGGCTAAGACGAAGTGAGTAGTTGTCTTCTTCCATGCCCCTCCACCATGCCCTTTATTGCCTTGGAACCAGCCAGCTTTGGAGTGAACGCACTGGAAACTGTGAGCCAAACAATCCTTTAAACTGTATGTGTTGGGTGTTTTGTCTCAGCGATGGGAAAACTGACTAATGCATTCAAGCACATTGTAGTAGTAATGTGAAGCTGACTAATGCATTAGCATGCGATCCAGCCCTGAATGTACCCCAGGACCATGTCAGAGAAGTTGTGATTCCCTGAGTAGGAGAGAATCTGTACCCCAGGGGTTGATTTTCATGGACTAAAAATAAAATATGGGCAAGATCCATAGCCACCATGTGCCTAGTAATCCTTAGTATAGCAGCATGAACCACCTGCTTCTCCCTCTTTGGTGTTCTCCTGAATCAAAAGGAAAGATAATGAGACCATAGGGAAGAGTATTGGGAAAAGTAGGAAACATTCATTTAATGGGAGGCACTGGAGTCTCAGTCCCAACCACCAACACAGGCCCCAACGTGGGAGTGGCCACAATAGTTGGTGATGGATAGGATGAAGTTTGTGGTTTGTGCAGGCATGCACAAGTGCATCTCAGGACTCAGGCAATAGAGAGAAGTGAGCAAAAAGGGAATTCAGTGGAAAGGTCATCCTCTGGTCACATAATACCCTCTCGTTCTCTTTGAACAAGAGCCTAACACTTAATTTCCCTGGATTCATTATCCTCATTGTAAAGAAACACTAATCTGAACCTCAGAAGGAGACTGGGGAGAACAGGGCAAGGGAGAGCAGGGCTAAAGTGGAAAAAGAAGTCCTGGGGCAGCTTCTTTTCCAGCTCAAAATTCTGCCCTTTCCTATCTCAGGCTTCACCCCGTCCTTCTACTCCAGAGTGAGGAATGTTCTCCTTGGCATCGGCGGGTACTACCCATAAGCAGTTTTCTCCTTGGGAGAACTGGTTCAGTGAGCAAACCCACACAGGCTGACCCTCCCATGGCTGGAGGACTGTGTGGGCCAGGAAAGAAATGGAGAAAAAGTGAGACCAGGAAGAGAGTGGAGACTGGTGCAGAGAAGGGCAGGCACATGAGGGGGCTGTGCTGGGTTCTCAGTGACAGCAGCGGCAGGAGTATAAGAGACAAATCCTGGGGCATTTATCCTGGTTTATTTAACAGGGGTAGGGGGTGCAAACAATGGGGAGGGCAGCCTTCTTGTTCACATTCTTGCACACTTGATTTTAAGGTTCTCATGCCTCTGATGTGCGCTCAGATTGGGAGTGGAGGACTGTGGGGAGCAGGAAGCACAGCCTGCCTCCCACTCACAGGAGGCTCATGCAAATGTTCCCACAGAAGGCTGAGCAGCATATGTTATTTGCTTGACAGTCTTGGTTAGCTTCACATTGGCGGTTGCACTGATAAAATTCAGGTAGATTCGCACAGGTCTTGATTTTGGGGATTGGTTGTGTACCTGAAAAGGAGCAGGAGCAGGGTAAGTGGAAGCAGCTAATTAGAAAGCAACCTTCTCAAGCTTAAAACTCCTCCCAGAACCCAGGCCCCGTTGATGACACTTCTCGACTTTGCTGGGAACTTTCTTTGGGCCCCTTATCATATCCTTGTGACCAGTATAATCTTAAATCCTATGTTCTCCCTGTTACCTTCTCACTTTCTCTATGGATCTAAGTGTCTGGGCTTCTGGACCATCTCTCCCCTATTAGGCCTATTAGGCATGGTCTTGGCAGAGATGAAGATGAACCTGAAATACCTAGGATCATGTGAGGTAGCCCTTATGTGATGTACACTCTGATGTGGAGAGCTCAAAGAAGCCCAAGACATCTTTCAAACCCTCCCCACTCTCTAGAATTTTCAGAATCCAGAGAGAAAGATGAACTGGCTTCTTGCCTCTTTTTCTTCTCTTTACCATCACTGTGTCCAGCATTCCAGTCCCTCAGCAGTTTCCCTTCTCCCACCAACCCCCTGCTGCCTCTAATGATCACTCTGTGTTGGCTCTGTACACCCCACAAAGTCCTTTCTTTCTACGCCTATGCCCATTTCATCACCCTCAGCCATCCCCGTAAACCTCTGGATATTGCCCTTTACAAATGTGCATAAGTTAGAGAGTAATTACCTTACCTTCCTGTTAGGTTCTCAATCCTGGTGCACCTTTCACCAAAGTATGTACCATTTGTTTCTGAATTGTTGGAATGGAAGTGTGTGTGAGTCCTTCCCTATCCCACTGCCTATCACAGGCCTGGGTAATGGAGGGCTGTGGGTTGTTACAACCCAGAGTGTACAAAGCTGTGAGCAGAGCTCGGTGTGTAGAGAAGTATCACGTCCCATGAACTCTACAGACTGGGCAGTCTCTCCTTCCCACCACCCTGCATACCCATGCAGCCCGTCACCTACTCTGCGTGCTCTTCCGTTCTCGTTCCCGGTGGCCTCCTTGGGTCTGCATGGACAGCAGCAGCATGCAGAGAAGCAGGGTGGGCAGCAGAACTTGGGATGGCATAATTCGGACCACAGCCACAAGCCTAAGCCCGGCTCGGATGCCGCAGTCTCCTCTCAGAGGTGAATGTGGGGAGGGAAGGCAAGAAAAAAAAAAAAGGAAATTCTCCTCCGCTCCTTGCTGCCTCTGCTGGTCAGACGAGGGAGGCACAAGAAAGTTCTTGTTTCCGCTCTTTGCCTGCCCCTTATCCAGCCCTTGGGAGGGACTGGGCTCCTGCAGGGATGTCATCCTCTCACAGGATCAGCCCTCTCTTATTGCTAATGAAATGCCTTTTGTGAAATATGCAGTTTATTTGTTTCTCT